GCATTACTTTTGGAGCAGCCCTCGTAGTCATTGTGAGTATGAATTATTAAAAAAAAAAAAACAACAAAAAAAAACAAAGCAAGGCCTTTGTCACTATGAAATTTCTCCTGTAAATATAACTTTTAAAGGTCTTGAAGAAACAAATGCAATCCATTACAATACATGAGAGAAGATCAGACATCTGTTGAGAAAAGCAAGATGAATGTGGATTCAGCATCTTGTCTTGACATTCACATCTGAAAGAAAGATCAGTGGGGACCACAAATCTTTAGCTGATGGTTAAGTAAGTCATGAGCATTTTGTCAATAATTGTGTGAATGACCTTCAAATCCAACACGAGTGAAAACAGAAAAACACATTATTATTACAGGTTGTGCATATTATTAACATGATGATTACCAGAAAATTTGAACAAACGTAGGAGATCTAAACTTTCAAACATCAGCAACCATAAGAACAAGCTATAGCTAAAATTTGTTTTTATATACACTCAAATCTGTGAAGAAATTCTCTGGGTTAATCAGCAGATAAAATTAATTTATTAGCATGAAAACAAATGATTCCAACGTTGTAATTGAAAAACAAAGAAACAAAGAAAACAACAACAACAAAAAACAAATGATATTGAAAACTTTGAATTAAATAATGTTATCATCATCATCATTACTGGGAAAGAAGTGTAATAACAGCTTCATTTGATTCATAACAGCTAACATTTTGATTTAGTTAAAGCTCTAATTCAGAACTTAAAGAATAGACATTAATTCTGTATTTTAAATCAATAACTTCTAACTAAATAAAACTGTTCCAGCTAAAGAGGCCTAAGGAAAAGAGAATCAACTAAATTTTATTTTTATTTTAGAAAAATATGTTTGCAAACTAATATGGTGATAATTCATTATGAAAATGTTTTTCTATTCTTACCTCACTAGTGGATTGTGCTGGATTGTGTCTTTATGTGTTCTGTAAAGATGGATCCATTTTTGCTTACCAGTGGATAGCGAGTCCTTTGCTCCTCTTATCACAGAATTACAGAATTATAGAAACGCCAAGTTTGGAAAAGACCTTCAAGAGCATCCAGTCCAACCATCCACCTATCACCAATAGTTCTCACTAAACTGTATCCCTCAATACAAAATCCTTGAACACCTCCAGGATCGGTGACTCCCCCACCTCCCTGAGCAGCCCATTCCAGTGCCTGACCACTGTTTCAGAAAAATAGTATTTCCACTTTTATCACTTAGACTAATTTAGCCATGGCCTAGCTTTCAAGGTAATTTCCTCTGAGAAAGCTGGTAGTTTGACACTTCTCTCCCCATACAGACAGCTAACTGAGCTATATAGCTAAATACACGGCAAAATCTTAACCAGATCTAGAGGGGTTATCACTATACTAGTTACCAGATTGAAAGAGTATACCTTCATTTCTTTCCTCTTAAAAATTATATTTAATATTCATTTATATTTTTTGTTTGTTTGTTTATTGTGTTTTGAGTACAATACACAGATCGCATCCAACATCCTTCTCCTCCCCAAAAAAACCACAGTCACATTCATACTGACTATTGTAAGCAGTTTTTGATTCATGTCACTTGAACCGTGTTTATATACTGTCTGGAAGGATGGCATGAATCAAAACTGTGACAAGCAGCATGCTAAAAATTGAACAGTGCACATGGTTGCATGCCACTGTTCTTTCTGTGAAGTGGGCTTAACACAGCTCTGATGTTCTGAGTCAAAATTCCTTCATAATACCAGTCTCATGATGAAAGCTACAGATCATATATACAAACAAAAAGGGCTGGAGATCAAGACTGGTTGTCTATCTGCTCGTATGTGACTTAGCCTTCAATTTCAGTTCTGCAGTTATCCAATAACAGGATAATTTTGCAGCCTCTGCATGCTTTGGATTTCCTTGTGTAAAAATCCATGACTAGCAAGGCCTCCTTCCAAAGGAGACAGATTTAGCTGAAGCCTGCACTGAAACCCAGATTCTGAGAAGTATTCTGGTGCTTCAGTAGCAAAATATATCTACTGACATTTCAGTAATTTCTAACACAAATAATACTTCAATGAGCATCAAGAATGAATGCTTTTAGATAAAGAAGTTACTTCCTGATACACTCTTTCAAGGCCTTGAAATGATTTTCTATGGTCACTCAGATGTTCCTGAAGTCCATGAATAGGACTACATAGGGACCTACTTTTATTTTGTCCTCCGTAAAATTTCAATCTGGTAGAACTGAACTTGGGCAAACCTGACCTAGTAGATTTACATGACCATCCAGCAGAAAGAGACCCTTTTTCTCTACCTCTTGTTTCTTATTCCATAGCTTGAGGAATTAACCTATACATTAGATTATAATCCTATCTGGGTTAATCAATGAGATAAAGAATTTCACAGCTTATTAGAAGAAGATTGGATTATTACTGCTAAATTAGCTAGATGCAACATCAAGCTATCTCAAGAGTGATTTTTTTTTTATATTCGATTTCAAAGGACAGATTGAAAAGACTTGCAGTAAGTGAGCCATCAGATCAGGAGTTAAAAGAAACAGTTGAATTGTTAGCTTAAAGTGTTAGCTTAAACTGTATTTTGTTTTATTTTCGGTCTATTATTCTCGTTCTGTTTTCTTCGTTATTTCTGCCTTTAAATTCCCTTACAATAACAGAATCATAGAATCATAGAAAGGCCTGGGATGAAAAGGAGGGTGTCCTTCCTGTACTGGAGGCCCCAGGCCTGGACACAGTGCTCCAGATGGGGCCTCACAAGAGCCGAGCAGAGGGGGACAATCACCTCCCTCTCCCTGCTGGCCACCCCTTTTTAATGCAGCCCAGAACACAGTTGGCCTCCCGAGCTGCGGGCGCACACTGCTGGCTCATGTCCAGCTTCCCATCTACCGGATCCCCAAGTCCTTCTCCACAGGGCTGCTCTCAAGGAGATGTGCCCCCAGTTTGTATAAATACCTGGGATTGCCCCGACCCAAGTGCAACTCCCTGCACTTGGCCTTATTGAACCTCATTAGGTTTTCATGGGCCCGCTTCTCCAGCCTGTCCAGGTCCCTCTCGATGGCTTCCCTTCCTCCCAGTGTATCGCCTGCACTGCTCGGCTTGGTGTCACCTGCAAACTTGCTGAAGGTGCACTCGGCGCCTTCGTCTGTGTCACTGATGAAGATGTTGCGGAGGACCGGTCCCAAGACCGACCTCTGGGGGACACCGCTTGTGACTGGCCTCCACCCTGAGATCTGGTGGCAATTACAGAGACCTGGTGGGACAGATCACATGGCTGGAATGTGGTCGTAGATGGCTGTGTCCTTCCAAGGAAAGACAGGCCAGCAAGGCGAGGTGGTGGAGTTGCTCGTTATGTGAGAGAGCAACTGGAATGCATGGAGTACTGTCCAGGGCTGGATGAGGAGCGGGCTGAGAGACTGTGGGTGGGAATTAAGGGGCAGACTGGCATGGGTGGCACTGTTGTGGGTGTCTATTACAGGCCGCTGGATCAGAACTAGGAAGCCGACAAGGCCTTCTACAGGCAGGTGGTATCAGCCTCGCAATTACAAGCCCTGGTTATCAGGGGGGATTTTAACTACCCTGATCTTTGCCAGAAGGTCTGCTCAGCCAGCCATCCACAAGCCACCCAAGAGGTTTCTCCAGTGCACTGATGATAACTTCCTGATGCAAATGGTGGATGAGCCAAGTAGGAGAGGAGCGCTGCTGGATCTTGTTCTCACTAACAAGGAGGGCACAGTTGAAGTGGTGAAGGTTGAGGGCAGCCTTGGTTGCAGTGACCAGGAGATGGTGGAGTTGAGGATCTCATGTGGCAGGAATAAAAAACTAAGCAGATTCACCACCCTGGACTTCAGTAGGGCCAACTCGGTCCTTTTCTAGCAATTGCTAGGGGAAATCCCATGGGACAGGGTACTTGAAGGTAAAGGGGTCCGAGATAGTTGGTTAGCATTCAAGGGCTGCAGCTTCCAGGCTCATGATCAGAGCATCCCAAACAGGTAGCAGGTCAAGAAAGGGAGTCAGGAAACCTGCGTGGATAAAGAGGGAACTGCTGGGCTAACTTGAGTCGAAGAGGAGAGTCTACAGATCACGGAAGGAGGGCTGGCCACCTGGGAGGAATATAAGACTGTTGTCAGAGGACGAAGGGAGGCAACTAGGAAAGCTAAGGCCTCCTTAGAGTTTAACCTGGCAAGAGCGGGCAAGAACAACAGAAAGGGCTTCTTCAAGTACACTGCAGACAAAACTAACAGCAGGGGCAGTGTAGGCCCACTGATGAATGAGGTGGGTGCCCTGGTAACAGAAGATACAGAGAAGGCGGAGTTACTAAATGCCTTCACTGTCTCTGTCTGTAGTGCTGGAGGCTGTCCTGAGGAGCCCAGATCTGCATTGCTCAGACAAAAGCAATTACACCAGTGCCTGGAATGCTACCTTATGAGAATCCTGAAGTTGTGGGGGCACTGACTTTGACTGCCATGCCTCCGCCCCCCCATCTGCTCTCTTGCTTACCCTGCTCACAGTGGTGGGGTGAACGATATGATGGAACAGCTCAGATAAGGAGGGGGAGGTCACACACCAGGTACAACTCTGCACAAAGCAGTTTCAGTTTGAAGAGGATTCATTTAATTACCCATTAAAAAAGAACTGGGATGGTGAGAACTAAAAGCCATCTCAAACCGCTTTCCCATTCTAACTTGAGCCTAACTCAGGTGTTTGAAGCAAGGATGGCAGCAGCGCATCTCAAGGATGCTCCCCAAACTGGGACACGTGTTCACTTGTTGTCAAAGCTCCATTTTCATGTATTTTTTATTATACTCAAGTTATGCCCATAACTCCCCCCATCCCCATGCTGGGGGCTACTGCCAGCCTACTTCCGTGTGGGCTGTGACCTCACAGAGTTATCCCCACCCGCTGGACTATGATCTCATGGCTCTGCCCATGTGATCCAGCGGCCAGCACTTTGCTTCGGCCAGTGCGGTCGTGACCAGCTTTGAGCGATGGTTGTCGACAGCGTTCTCCTTATCCCCAGCCTCCTGCTCCTGGTGGCTGGGGTGTCTCTGCTCACCATTTCCTGGCGCCGACAGGTAGGGAAATTTGAGGATGGGAGTCACTTGAGGCTAGGTGACTGAGGGCTTTGGGGTGGGGGTGAGGGCTGCCCCGCAAGTCCTTTCACTGTGCCACATTCATGTGCCCGTAGGGTTCTGACCAGCGCCAGCAATGGTGGACATGGTGGCTGCAAGTGGTGGCATCGAAGTCAGGTGAGTCCCCGGAGGGTCAGCCTGGCACGTTCCCAGGCTGGGCCGGCCCCCCGGGAGAAGCCAAGCCTCGTACCAGCCTCCAGCAGCCAGGCCGGGTGGGCCTGGAAGATCCCTGGTGCCCCCCTACCCTACTGTGGCTCATGCCCGCTCCCTGTTTTACAGGTGCTGAGAGGCAGGCAGGCAGGCACAGGAGCCCCCTGTGCAGGCCACGTTGCTCCCAGCAGCAAGCATCGCCACGGCAGGGCAGTCCCATCCTGCCCCATCTCATCCAGCCAGGAAAGATCCGGCCTTTCTTGCTGCGCAGTCGGTGCCCCTCTCTGCACACGGACTCTGCCACTGGTACCACGAGCTCTGCGGGGAAACCCGGCAGGCTTCCCAGACAGGACCAGCGCCCGCAGATTCTGGTGGCACGCGGGACCCCCGGGACGCTCAGTCAGCGTCCTAGGCTAGGCGGTGGAGTTGAAGACCTGCCACCTGAGATCTCCAACTTCACAAAGCCACCAGTGAAAGGGAAGGTCTTCCAGGTGGGCCTCGTTCAAACAGAGGAGAGAAAACGCTGGCGGGACTACGAGACCAAGAGGCGTTTTTGGCGTATGCTCTCCCCAGCACTTCCCAAAGTGCACAAGAAAGCAGGAGCAACAGCAAGACCATCCCGGGGACCAGCTCTGAGCCTGGAGAGAAAAGCAGTTGGCAAAACTGAAACCCACCAGCCTTTCAACTCCAGCTTCCATGAAAAGAGGAGCACAGAGAAATCGGACTTGCTCGCTATGGAAAGGCTGTACCGGCAGCTCCTGGTGTCCCTAAAACGATCCAAGACTAACAACGATTGCTGCAAATCAGGCAGCGGAACTGAAGAGCAACCACCTGACAGCTCTTCCTGCACGCTGCCACCAATGAAAGGGACAAACGAGCATGAGGACATCCTTCAAACAGAGGAGGGGAAATGCTGGTGGAAGAGCAAGACCAAGTGGTCTTCTGAGTACTGCATTGCCTCCCCAGCACTTCCCAGAGTCTAGATGGAAGCTGGAGAAGCTGCAGGACCAACACCAGGACCAGCTTCAAGCCTGCAGAAAAGGAGACAGCAGTACTGAAACCTGCCAGCACCTAAACACTGCTGTCACTGTTATGGATTTATTGTTAACATACCAAGCGAGAACTGAATCTCAGCCCTAAGATCATCGTTTGCATCATACCATTTCAGTTTGAGGGCTTTCAGGTTTTTAAAACGTTAATTTAATAAAACTCTTCAAAAAACTGCCATCCTTATTTCTTGACTTTTAGCAATAAGAGCAAGCTCTCTCTACAAACAACAGCTTCAGAGCATGTAAGACTGCACTGGGGAAGGGATCTGAAGCAAAAAGGGCTGACAAAGTACTCTTCTGGGGGCTTTTTTAAGCCAACAAAAGTGCTTTGCTAGGGGGCTGGTAGCTTGTGGGCGGGCTGCCGAGCTTGCATGGATGCAGCTGGCACTGGAGCAGGCTACCAGGCCATAAGTAGCCTACGGGAGGGCAGAAGCTAGCTGCCACCCACAGAGCACACAGGGTGAGCAAACAGTGTTGGTGCGTGCGCCTTGCAGCCTGCAGCCTGTATGGCATGGCATTGAGCCTCTGCCAATGCACAAATGCCTGGCTATGAGACTGGTGCTAGAGGCAGGGCATTGGGTTCTTTGATAGTGGATGGTTTATAAGACATCAGACCTGACAATTAAACTTCTTCGAGTTTAACTTGGCAAGAGGAGTAAAGGACAACAGAAAGGGCTTCTTAAATGCACTGCAGACAAAGCTAACACTAGAGGAAATGTAGGCCCACCAGTGAATTATCTGGATGTCATGGTGACAGAAGGTACAGAGAAGGTGGAGTTACTAAATGCCTTCTTTGTCTATAGTGCTGCAGGCTGGGGGATGGAGGAAGTCCATTCCCCTGAGGCGCCACAGGAATTCAGGACATATAAGGGATTTACCTCAGCTGATGAGGTAATGATGAGAGAAAGCGCTGGCGGGACTACGAGAACAAGAGGCGTTTTTGGCGTATGCTCTCCCCAGCACTTCCCAAAGTGCACAAGAAAGCAGGAGCAGCAGCAGGACCACCACCAGCTTCAGGCCTGGAGAAAAGAAGACCACAGAACTGAAACCTGCCAGTGCCTAGACTCTGCCTTCATTGTCGTGGTTTTATTGTTGACATATTAATAGAAAACTGAATCTCAGCCCTAAGATCGCCTTTTGCATCATACCATTTCAGACTGAGATCTTTCAGATTTTTAAAAAGATAATAAAAGTCTCAATACCCTTCAGAGAATTGTTATCCTTATTTCTTTTAGCAATAAGAGCAAGCTCTTTCTGCAATGAGCAGTTTCAGAGCATGTAAGACTGCACTGGGGAAGGGATCTGAAGCAAAAAGGGCCGATGAAATGCTCCTCTGGGGGCTTCTTGAAGCCAGCCAGCAAAAGTGCTTTGCCCGTGTCAGGGGGCTGCCAGCTTGTGGTCAGGCTGCCAAGCTCGCAAGGGCGCAGCTGGCACTGCCCACTGTGGAGCAGGCTACCTGGCCATAAGTAGCCTCCGGGAGGGCAGCAGCTAGCTGCCACCCACAGGGCGCACAGGGTGAGCAAACGGTGTTGGTGTGCGCACCTTGCTGGCTGCAGCCTTTTTGGCGGGGTGTTGAGCCTCTGCCAGTACACAAATGCCTGGCTATGAGACTGGTGCTACAGGCAGGGCTTTGGATTCTTTGATAGCAGATGGTTTTGTAAGTCACCAGACCTGACAGGAATGCATGGAAAAGGTTTATGTCACAGTGGCAAAGGGGTTCTGGGACGGGAATTAGCAGGGCTCGTGCTGAGAGCTTAAAGCTGGATTTGAAAGGGGATGGGGTTGCAGCTGGACTTGCACTGGTGGGGCAGCACTCTAGTATTGATTAAGGCCAGTTAGCCTCCACTCCACTAGGGTGAAATCGGCATGCTCAGCTCGCTCCCTGGAATGCATGCAGCGTGGAGAATAAGCAGGAGGAGTTAGAAATCCGTATTTGGGCAGGAGATCAATCATAGAATCATAGAATGGCCTGGGCTGAAAAGGACCACAATGATCATCAAGTTTCAACCCCCCTGCTACGTGCAGGGTCGCTAAACACAAGACCAGGCTGCCCAGAGCCACATCCAGCCTGGCCTTGAATGCCTCCAGGGATGGGGCATCCACAACCTCCTTGGGCAACCAGTTCCAGTGCGTCACCACCCTCTGGGTGAAAAACTTCCTCCTAATATCTAACCTAAACCTCCCCTGTCTCAGCTTAAAACCATTCCCCCTTGTCCTGTCACTGGGGGCTTCTTGAAGCCAGCCAGCAAAAGTGCTTTGCCTGTGTCAGGGGGCTGCCAGCTTGGTGTCACCTGCAAACATGCTGAGAGTGCACTCGACTCCTTCATCTATATCATTATAAAGATGTTGAATATCATGAGCTCTTCTCTTGAATTGCAAGAGCCGTTAACTCTCTTTATTCCATTCACATTTAGCAACTCCTTTACTTCTGCTGAGCTTTTTCAGGGCCCAGGAAAATATATTTGAAAGGGGATATTCATGTCACCAACTTCATTGAAAATCTCTTGAATCTGTCTGTTTTCATCAGTCGCTGTGCAAAGAAACCAGGCAGAGAGATTGTTTAGTGTCTTCAAAACCTTGTTTTTATATAGCCAGTGTGAGAAAGATGTGGATATTCCTTCATTGTTTGTCAACTGAGCTGGCACACAAAGGCTGGGATTTCCAAATAAGAGAAAATATTGCCAGCAAAGAAACAGTGCTTTGGATAGCATTGGTCATCTGTAGATCTCAAAATGCTGTATGAAGGGGAATCTTCAGTAATACTAGATTTACATAGCAGGACAAATATAATATGTTGTTATTACATTTTCCTTCTGTTTGCCAAGTATTCTATGAATGTTCAGGATACACTTTAATGTTGTGGATACAAAAGATACAACTGAGCAACCAGAAATTTCATTGCAGAGGTACAAGCTAATGTGCATTATATGAAGTACTATAGTCAAACTCACTTCCCCACAGCAGAGTACTTCACTTAAGTATCAGTATCACAGCATTTCCGTTTGATTGTTTTGTGCAGCTAAATTCAATATCATTGACAATGAACTCTAACAGAAATAAATGCAGTTTGGTTCTGTAAAGGACTACAATTCTGTTTTGGATGTTAATTATCTTTTTGCTAACTTATATCTTTTAATGATGCATAATAACATACTCATTTGCAAGCTCCTGCTAAGCTCCATATCTTCTCTTTTCTGCTTTCTCTTAGAGAAAAAAGATACTAAATGACCACTGGCAAAATTTTTTTTGAGAAAAAAAATGCAAGTGGAATTGCATTAACATAGCTGTTCAAATGTTTTTAATGGTCCAAGTGTTGACTGAAATGCTAAACTGCTCATATTATTTATATCATGACCACTCTTGCTTATTTGGATGAAAAATTAGAAAACAATCATGTATTTAACTTTCTTAAGAAAAAAAGTTCATGGAAAAAAAAAAAAAAAGAATTGAAATAATTTACCACATATGTTTGCAGCTGTGAGAGAAAAAAATACATATACAATGACTTAATGCAATCTTAGCACAACATTATGTGAAACCCTCTATCTAGGTACTGCATAATATTGGAGTAAATGTTGCTGACATCCCACTTAATCAAAGCAGCTTAATACAATACATCTCTCTTAATTGCTAAATAGATTGTTGAGATTTTTACAGGCTATAGATTGATCCATTAATTGGTTGTCAACAGAAACAAATTCATGAACAAATACATTACTATACACTAGCAAAGGCAGTTATAAAATTTGTTCTTGATCATAATTTCCCTTACAGTTTAGTTTACTTATGAATTACAACTTGTTTCCATTCCACTTTCTGTATATTTTTTGCCTATGTCAATTACATAGTCATTAGTGGGAAAATGAAATAAATTAATCTATTCTCTTTTGTATAAGGCAGGATTGCTTACCTGGGTGCTGGTCCCATTTTAGCTGAAGAAAGTTTCAGGAACTGTCCTGGAAGAAGATGCAAGAGCAGCCAGCACCCAGCTGCCTTCTCAGAGGAGTCTCAGGCATCCACGGACAAGTGAACTGCTATGTCCTGAGCACCAACCATCCTGGGCATGTCCAACAGTTCATCTCTGCACATGTGCATTGCATTTTCTGCTTCCAAGCTATGTATGAGTTTTCATGTTCCTCCACTGAACAACTGTCTTGCAGTTGTGCTCTTGGCTTTCAACAGGTCGTCTTTTGCCCACGTGCAAGAAAATGTTTCACACATATGCTGTTAACATAATTGTTTCTTCAAAGCTGCAGGTTCTCTGTTCACGCTCAGCAGACTTAGCACATAAGGCAGAAGGAGCTCTCCTATTAATGTTTCTGGAACAGAAAATTGCAGGGATTTCACTCTTACTTTATCCCCAGGCATTCCTGTCCTAAAATATCATTATTTCTAATACTGATAAAATGTGATGAGTTGTCAGTAACAACTTCAACACTTCAGGTACAATATGAACCCAAACTCCAGGCTAAGCTTTCCTGGGCTCAGTAGCAAATCAACAGAGCTTGTAAAAACAGAAGAATCATTTAAACACCTTTAAAACACATGAACAAAGTAAACTGAAGCATTTGGCTGTAACTAGAAGCTGTTAAAGATACGAAGTCTGTAAAAAATGCAAAAAAATTAAATGAGTCTCTGTATCTACGTGAAAAGCATAGGCAAATTAATATCTATGTGTGCATAAAGCTATTTTATTTTTACATTTTATAAATTCATTTAAAGCTCATTGAGAAACATTGATTGTGGTTAACACGTAGAACAAATTATTGTCTTCTTATGGCACTTAAAATAATAACATGATAGAGACACTTAAAAGCATAGTACCCCCAGACCAAATAATTCAGTTCATCTTAACCCACACTTAGGAAGGAGGAAATGTACTTGAAAATATAAAATAAAATTGTTCAACATTTGTTACACATTGTCCCTGTTCC